ACTATGACGGAGAATTATTTAACCTCAAGGTGTCTAAACTCTTATAGCGTCAATTCCGAGAGTGCACGTTGACCTCTTCCAAATCTGTACTTTTTCGGCGATCCTCCCGAAATGCTTGTCCATTTTCTGTTCCACAATACGGCGGGTCATGACTGGATGTGTTCGGTCGGAGGACATAAAGAGAACAGGTAACATCACGTATCACGTGGAATTTGTTTAGATGAGTCAGTTCGCCGTTTGTGTACGTTTCGCATGCAGCTGTGCACATGCAGGGAGTTGATACGATACGTCAGTCAGTTACTCCGTATGTGATGACGGCAAGACAAAGGGCTGTCATGCCCATTGAGCTATGTGTCACACTTCCCATCGACCCAGAAGGACTCAGGCCAATAATAACCGATAAAAACCATACATGTTTATATAGCTACCCTGTGCAAGAAGGTGTTGCGCCACCCGCTGTAAAGCTCAAGCAATGTGATGGCGGAGGATAGCAACCGTAGACAGTCGGAATAATGGCTCTTTCGGGGCCGGTTAGTCCCGGGTTCGAATCCCAGATTCTTCCGATCATGACCCTTGGTCTGTTACTGCTATTCTGTGCTTCTTGGTTTCACCAAAGAGGAAAACTCAATTATCCCGTATTAAGCTGACACGCCGTGGTATAACTGAAATATACTGTTCAAACTTGTTTAAATAATGCAACCGTGAAGATCCGGGGTAGAATAGGTCTTTAGCAACCCATGCATGCCGTAAAAGGCGACTATGCTTGTCATGAGAGGCAACTAGTGGGATCGGGTGGTCAGTTACGCTGACTTGATTGATGCATGTCATCGTATCCCTATTGCGTGGATCGACGCTCAAAATATCAATCACTGGATTGTCTGGTTCAGAGTCAATTATTTACAGACCGCCGCCATATAGCTGGAATATTGCTGAGTAAAACAACGAACATACACACAAACAAGCATAAGGCAACGACAATACTTTAATACCCGCATGGGAATTATGTGTGCTAACAGACAAGTGTGAGTTAGAACAGTAACGCAATGGGGGAAACTACTGATGTAGCGTGGTGTCCCAGAGTGATGCGTATCTTATACACGAGATGAGTATGCTGGTTGTGCAGCACCAGGGCAGTTCCCCCTCTAACCACCATCACTTTGGTCCTGGTGCTGTGTTGTTGCATCACGCGACCTCGGCCTTCACGGCGATACATCGGTGATACTTGGCTTGGCCGAGCTGGACGGATTGCTGCTTGGCAAACATTAATGGCAGGACTATCTTTAGTTTTACAATTAATTTAATTCAATATGCAGCAATGTATTCCTACATTAGGATATAACACAACTGTGTGGTGTTTAGTGGTAATTGATAGGCGAGGGAAAGCATATTTATTCCTACATTAACTAGTTTAATTTCAAGGTCGGGTTTGTAATAACTAGATGATACTGGCTGCATTCTGGATGGCTACTCGTGTGTAAGGTCGTGTAGTGCCAATATATCAGCTCGTTATTTACATAACGTCAATATTTACATTGCAATCCATAGTGCCACCTTTAATAGAGGATGCAATGGAGGTTTTTTCATAAAACAATGATATGATGCTTGCACAGATGCAACATAATGTCTATACATAACGTTTTGCTCAGGATATAACGGGTTATATATAGTGATGGGTAAATGAGGTTTAACGTCGAATGCAAGTTTATTGTGTTTATAAAGCGACGTGCATCTTCGCGCGTGTGTGTGGCTGCTTGAACAAGTCCGGACTTAAACCGGTTTTAATAGTGCATGCTAGCCCACTTAGATACCATGCTGCAGTGTTAGCATGGATACTTCACCCAGACACATTATACTGACTCCGAGCACATCGGTCCTTGTTTTATCCCTTAAATGCCGAGCGCCATGCAGGAGGGGCAACAACAAATACCATATTTGGGTATATGAAGCGGCCACGGGATTGAACCGCCGATCTTTCGATTTCCGGACAGACGTTCTATCCACTAGACCGCGGAGTCGGTCATGATTGCAATGATAAGAAAAAATGGTCTATGCATATCGATCGTGCAGTGATAGGTAATGATGGTGTATGTGTAACGACTGTGCAATGATCTGTAATAACGGCCCATGCATATACCAACCGTGCAATGATAGACATATTGGTCCATACATACCGACCGTGCAATGATACGTAATAATGGTCCATACATACCGACTGTGCAATAACATGCAATACTGGTCCATACATATGGACCGTGCAGTGATACGTAATAATGGTCTATATGTAATGATCGTGCAATGAAACGTATAATGATTATATACATAAACATCGTGGCAACGATATGTTTAGAGGGTCCATACATACCGATCATGCAATGATACGTCATAACGGTACATACATACCGACAGTGCAAGAATACGTCATAACGGTACATACATACCGACCGTGCAATGATACGTCATAACGGTCCATCCATACCGACCGTGCAATGATACGTCATAACGGTACATACATACCGACCGTGCAATGATACGTCATAACGGCCCATACATACCGACAGTGCAAGAATACGTCATAACGGTACATACATACCGACCGTGCAATGATACGTCATAACGGCCCATACATACCGACAGTGCAAGAATACGTCATAACGGTACATACATACCGACCGTGCAATGATACGTCATAACGGTACATACATACCGACCGTGCAATGATACGTCATAACGGCCCATACATACCGACAGTGCAAGAATACGTCATAACGGTACATACATACCGACCGTGCAATGATACGTCATAACGGTCCATACATACCGACCGTGCAATGATACGTCATAACGGTCCATACATACCGACCGTGCAATGATACGTCATAACGGTCCATACATACCGACCGTGCAATGATACGTCATAACGGCCCATACATACCGACCGTGCAAGAATACGTCATAACGGTCCATACATACCGACCGTGCAATGATACGTCATAACGGTCCATACTTACCGACCGTACAATGATACGTCATAACGGTACAAACATACCGACCGTGCAATGATACGTCATAACGGTACATACATACCGACAGTGCAAGAATACGTCATAACGGTACATACATACCGACCGTGCAATGATACGTCATAACGGTCCATACATACCGACCGTGCAATGGTACGTCATAACGGTCCATACATACCAACAGTGCAAGAAGAAATATTGTACGGTTTTCAAGATCTGCTCCGGAAAGGAGCACCAATGCCATTTTCAATATATGCCAAAGTCGTTTGCCACGGAAACTCGAAATACATTTTTTTCAAAAATCCAAAACTATCAAAAGGCACAAGACCTATCTATGTGCCAAGTTTGGTTAAAATATCTGTTATGGTTCTTGAGTTTTTCTCCGGACGGTCGGACGGAAGGACTGACGGACGGCGGACAGCACCCATTCCTTTATCACCCTTTGACTTCATGGCGGGGAAAATAATACATAATGTCCGTGCAATGACGTACATGTATAGCGAGGTGGGGAGCCAGGGTGTTGAGTGTTACGACTAAATTATCTCTACCACTACGTTATCCCACCGCTTTCCATCATAAGACAACAACAAAATGTTGCTGATGCGGCGTACAACGATATTAATTCTGATTCCATCATCAGACAACTCCTGACAACAAACCTCCTTTCATTTCCTTTTAACCAGTTTACTGTAAATATGTTTTAGCTTCTAAAGTACATTTTACCCTCACAATTCCTACATATTTTTTCTCTTAACCTGTCGGAATAATAACTCTAAAGAACTAATGTTATAGTTTCTTGTCATAACCGACTTTAATTAAAATCTTGTATGTCTATATCTCGTACCGAACTGCGGTACTGGGTGATGTAGGCGGACGGTGTGAAAGGCAGTTACGCAACCATATTGGTGTCAATAATTGACACAGGTGTTATATACACACACACTGCAGACTCCAGGGGAACACACCCCATTCGTATTAACTTGTCACCGATGGTGTTTTCTTGTTTACCTTTATAAACAAATTCACCATTGACAGATACAGCACACCTTAAGCTTTGTATGGCCTAGATTATTACGGCTGTGAAATTAAATGACCTCAAATGTCGAAAGGCATAACTTCCAGTCAAGATCTTTATGAAATAATCAAATATTGTGTCATTACGAGATGTCGCGGAACTATATATACAAATATATATGTCGGAATCATTTACACGTACGTGTGGCGGTGAAGAGGATAAATCACATTCGCGTAGCTAGTGATTTTTTTGGTACCATGTCTTTAACCTGAATTATGTCACACTTTGACTATATTGAAGCGGTCTTTATTGGGAACAAAAATACAATTCGTGATCCGAGAATGAATTTGTGTTCCATAACGACGAGAAACACAGTTACTATGAATAAAGGCAATAAACTGTTCAAATATTTCTTAACATTCCGGATATATCACTACAAGCTGTATACTTACGTCGAATATGGCGCAGAGGACAGGGATGTCTTTTTCTGCAGATTATGATATAAATACCACTAGTAGGGGTCATGTCAAAATATATAACAAACAAGCGCCGGTATCACATTGTATTTAAGGTTTCAAAGTCCAACATTATCAACAGCCTCCTGAACTAATTTAAGTTTATTATTTTCATAATTATATCTTCTTTATTGAAGTTTTATATAAAATATATACAACGATAGAAATAGTTTTGATACGATCCCTGTTGTTGTAGGCATTTGTGGTCAAATCTTTATGTGTGGGTTCTCTACGACATTCAGAGAATATCTTCCCTTTATTTAAATCAGTGCTGAAGAAACAGAATCATATATGGGAAAATACTTATCAAAGAAATGGAAAATCAAACTTTGGCCAGAATAAAGTGAGCAGGTGCCCGTTCGTGAAATAGTATTTCGCGCGATATGACGTTGCCGTCAAGCCTGTAAATAAAGATGGTGATTGGTTGAAAAGGGTCACGTGCAGACTCTGTCCGCCATCTTGGACGGAACTGAGACGGCTTGGTTGTATACTGAAAGAAATTTTGTTTGAAATAAGCAAATCGAAGCCTCCATGGAGGAAAAACGGAGCTCAAGCAGGTAGCCCAGATCTTCAATTATACTTCTGCCAAATTACAACGTCGAAGTATATTTCTAAAGTCACTAAAACACCGATAACAATATCGCATCGCGTTGGTTTTGTTCCCTATATATAAACTATGGTTGACCTCGCGAATGAAAATAACTTGCGTCTGTTGACAATCATTATAAACAATGTCCCATGGTCTTGCAGATCAAAACGCCAGTCTAAGTCTGCCCCAGACGAAGGATTCTGGGACTGCAGTGTTTGCACGTACAAAAACTCCCCCGAAGCCTATAAGTGTGAAATGTGCGATGTCCGGAAAGGTACTTCTACCAGGTAAGGCGTTAGATGGTATTACGGCCGTCGCGTGTTCCCGTGTCGTTAACATAAACAATGTCTGTATCACAAACCTTCTAAACACCTACCAAGTGAGAACGTACGTCATTATCAGTGTATTGTGTTTTAGGAGGGTGAACAGAAACCGTATTTTACTATTGTTTACATCAGGTAGGCAGTCTATGCCAAGAACATCTTACCAGCTGATCTAGACAGTGTGACCTACTTACCCATATCTTCTGACTAATCTGACCTACATATAGATGTTACAATGGATGGTAGTGATTGCCCTTCCTGTAAGATTATATTAAGATTTCGTTCATCAATCTGAGTAAAATACTGCATTTTATTATTTTCAACAGCTTAAGTTTTGTGAGTTCCAAAACTGGTGTCTAAATAAAATAATTAATACTTTTCACATATATTAACATTTGTAGTGTAACCACATGTTAAGTTAGAATTTTCATCTATGGTACTTTAGTTGATTTTTTCACTCTTCTATGATGGCATTAAACGTAAGAAATGTTTCTTTTCTAGTTACTATAGTGTCATTGAAATGAATTAACATTTGCCTCCAGGGCGTCCTGTAGATAATTTTACATATCCATGAAATTGATTACAATACACTATTCATACATGGTTTAGATGTCTGAAATGATGAGTTGATATGCAGGTAACATTGATCAGTGATTGTTAGAAACTTTCCACATTTCGTAATTCTAAACTGTATGTATGACAGTATGTTTCTTTTAAGCAGTCAAATGTTGAAAATCAAAGATGAACACGTATCACTTTAAACATTTCTTCTCCTGCTGGATAACATTGATTAAATGCCTCATTATAGTGTAATTACTGATGCATTATCTTACCTCTCACATAAGACAGCTGAATTGTATTAGTCAATGACATTTTGACAAATTTCCATTTAACCCGCCACAGCGAAGGACAACTTGAAAAAATATGCTTTGCCATTAGCTTGGGATACATAGTCACACAAAGGGTACTAACTTCAAAACGCTATTGTGATAAGCCAACAACTCATGATAGGATGGCAATCATAACTTCTCACATATTTTAATGGCAGTATTAGGTTATTAATATAAACATGCACCTTTTGCCAACCATTTTCGATATTTTGTTTACATTTATTATTGTTACCGTTTTCTTGTTACTGAACAATTCTATTGTTTATGTGTGATTGTCTATTAATTATGAGTATCCCTGTGGGGACTCCAGGTTAGAATTAGTCCTCAGCAATCTGTGCTGGTCAACCTAATGAATTGGGTGGTCTGACATGGTGACTTGGATGACTACATGTCATCGTAACCTGATGGACCATTAGTCTCAAATTGAGTTGTCGAATATTTGGGTTTATTTGGTGTTTACAATGGGGCATCTCTGCCTCCATACTCTGCATGTACCTCTACATCAGCCCCTACACCATTCATCTTATGTGGATCTTGCTGAAGGGGGCGGTGTTAAACCAACCTATGCCACCGTGACAAAAGAAAGGGGACACCACTCTCACACAGTGCTGACTGCTTAAAAATTGTACATTACAAGAAAGCCAATGCGTTGGATGTTGGGCATATTTGACTTTATTGAACAATACATAATCCCCTGATTGAAGTATTTATGTATATTTAGCTCTGATTTTACTGCAAGCTGTTAAACTTTGAGTGAGTTTCTGATCTTTCTTGTGACAAGTCCCCAACAAAAAACTTAATCATAAATAACTACATGGGACAGTTGACGGAAATCAGTCCTTTGAACATGTTACGATCAATAGGCTCAAATCTAACACTGTTCTGATCAGATTTTAGATATTGCAGCCTTTATTTTACTGATCACTTATCAGTCTTGACAATTCTTGTGCAGATGAAAATGGAAGGAGGTGTTTCTGCTTGTTGGCTGCATGGGTTTATGCTTGTAAATATATTGATGTGACTCAGTTACGTGTATTGTCAACAGGCTGAAAAAGATAACTGATTATAAGACCAAACCTTTCTAATGTCTTGGTTTACCATTTTACGTGTAAAATGCTGATTATCTGCAAGGTCCAATCAATGGCAGGGTTTATGCTAGTTGACAAGAAGGAAGGGCCCTTTGGTCCATCTGGTCATTGATCATGGGGTCATTTAAAAAAAGGCAGGATCACTTTCAATAGGATAGCCGTAAACTACTTGGTAGTCTTTTCAGAATGGTTGGTCAAGGTGCTAGTTCGGTGAGTTAACTAAGTGCCGTTTGCAGGCAATTTGGGAAAAATGTTATTAATTTGATAAAATTGTTTAGGGGCACGGGTGGCCCAGTCGTCTAAGGCATCCCTTAGGCAAGCCAGAAACCTATGATTGTGAATTCAAATCCCGATTTTCCCCGATTATATTTCTTGGTTTGTCAGCACCATACCCCTGCTTGTGGGTTTCACCAAAGTGGTAAACGTCTCAGACCTGCATCACCTTGGGCTTTCCTCCCACATTAAGCTGACACGCCGTGATATAACTGGAATACTGTTAAAAGTGGTGTTAATACAAGTCATCTGAACAAAACCATAACATTAGTTATTACTGTATAAGTTGAATGGGGGAACCAATTTTTAGTTTTTATGGACATTTGCTGGAGACTAAGGAAATAATGTCAACCTCTTCTCTTTGAATAAGTGATTGGTTTGGGACAGTTTTTAATCCCTTGTGGGAGCAGAGTTGCAACCATCTTGCTGTTACACATTCTGTTTGGCTTGTTGTTATATCTGCTGTTTGGCTTGCTGTTACACTTGCTGTTTGGCTTGCTGTTACACTTGCTGTTTGGCTTGCTGTTACACTTGATGTTACACTTGCTGTTTGACTTGCTGTTTGGCTTGCTGCTACACCTGATGTTACGATTGCTGTTTGGCTTGCTGTTACACCTGCTGTTACACTTGCTGCTACACTTGCTGTTTGGCTTGCTGTTACACTTGCTGTTTGGCTTGCTGTTACACTTGCTGCTACACTTGCTGTTTGGCTTGCTGTTACACTTGCTGTTTGGCTTGCTGTTACACTTGCTGCTACACTTGCTGTTTGGCTTGCTGTTACACTTGCTGTTTGGCTTGCTGTTACACTTGCTGTTTCACTTGCTGTTTGACTTGCTGTTTGGCTTGCTGCTACACTTGCTGTTTGGCTTGCTGTTACACCTGCTGTTACACTTGCTGCTACACTTGCTGTTTGGCTTGCTGTTACACTTGCTGTTTGGCTTGCTGCTACACTTGCTGTTTGGCTTGCTGTTACACTTGCTGTTTGGTTTGCTGTTACACTTGATGTTACACTTGCTATTTGGCTTGCTGTTCCACTTGCTGTTTGGCTTGCTGTTACACTTGCTGTTACACTTGCTGTTTGACTTGCTGCTACACTTGCTGTTTGGCTTGCTCTTACACTTGCTGTTTGGCTTGCTGTTACACTTGCTGTTACACTTGCTGTTCGGCTTGCTGTTACACTTGCTGTTACACTTGCTGTTTGGCTTGCTGTTCCACTTGCTGTTACACTTGCTGTTCGGCTTGCTGTTCGGCTTGCTGTTACACTTGTCATTTGGCTTGCTGTTACACTTGGTGTTACACTTGGTGTTTGGCTTGCTGTTACACTTGGTGTTTGGCTTGCTGTTACACTTGGTGTTTGGCTTGTTGTTACACTTGCTGTTTGGCTTGCTGTTACACCTGCTGTTTGGCTTGCTGTTACACCTGCTGTTTGGCTTGCTGTTACACTTGCTGTTTGGCTTGCTGTTACACTTGCTGTTTGGCTTGCTGTTACACCTGCTGTTTGGCTTGCTGTTACACCTGCTGTTTGGCTTGCTGTTACACCTGCTGTTTGGCTTGCTGTTACACTTGCTGTTCGGCTTGCTGTTACACTTGCTGTTTGGCTTGCTGATCTCCAAATTCCGACCAGTCCGCTTCCAACTGTCCTGCCTGATGGGTAATGGTCTATCCATGTAGATAAACAATAAACCAATCATAACACTGTTTATATGTGACACGGACCAATCAAACAGAGCGTCTTAAATGTAGATACTGCAACATAGCTCCTTGCAGTGATGCCTCATTCACTGTGCGATCATGTGAGTGCACACACTGTGATAGAGCTTGCTTTGTAATGTTGCACACTGCTCACTTCCGATGTAAATGAATGTTAATGTGATATTATAATGCATTTTCAGGTTGTAAATGTAATTTGACACTTTTTCAAATGATCCACTAGTATTATTTTTTGTGCCATCACTGAAATAGATGTGATGCCATTTTCTTGAATGAATTCGGCTTTTAAGTTACTCATTGAAGTCTGTCTGCATTTGTGTGGCAAGGGTGATGATAGATCTGATTTCTTGAAATTGAAGATGCAAGATGTTTTCATAACCACAATCCCAAATTGGCATTATTTGGTACATGACTCCATGTTGTTTTGTAACACTCCCAGGTCAGATATATGTGTCTGTAAGTTTGAATTTATATGTGTGAAGGCTGGTCATATATTTGAGTGCCATTCATAGGTGGAAATGTTTTCTAATTCACTGGAGGATGTATGTATGTCTCAAGGTCAAGTGCCTTGTTGACAGAAACCTGGAGTAATTAGCATTTGTCTGTACAACATCATTGATTCAGTGAGGGGTCGTATAGAAAGGATTGTGTCAATTTTGCAATGGAAATATAAAACGTCAACGCCAGAGATTAACCAGTTTCAGTTATCCATCGAAACAGATTCCATTGGGCGTAAGGCGGATTAGCAGTGAAAATATTTGAATGGATAACTGAAAATCGGTGATAGCACCAGGTGTTCGTGAAAAGGGTAAGCATGTCCTGCCCTGACTGAAGCACCCACCAGATATTTGTGGCAGTTGACGAGTTGATCTTTTTATATGCTTTCATCTGGAGAAGTGTAATAGAATGAAAGATATATATGTACATGATGTAATTGTCATATATGTGAAGGTTTCTGTTAATCACAATTGACACTTTGATCTTATTTCATCATGATAGTGAA